AGATAATTATGAATTAGTGAAAAATTAATGGCATTCTTAAAAAATCTTCTTTTCAAGAACCATTGGGCCAGGAAAGATGAAACTCATGTAGGATCATCCTCAGGTAGTGTAGATTCAAGTTTGTTCAAATCATGACCCCTGGGGGTAGGGTGGGGCCAAAATGGCCGATCAAAGTTTTACATAGGAATATATAGGAAAAATGTTTAAAAATCTTCTTCTCAAGATCCATAGGGATAGGAAAGGTGATACTTATGTTAAATCATCCTCAGGTAGTGTACATTCAAGTTTGTTCAAATCGTGACCCCGGGGGTAGGGTGGGGCCACAATGGCCGATCAAAGTTTAACATAGGAATATATAGGAAAAATGTTTAAAAATCTTCTTCTCAAGAACCATCGTGACAGGAAAGATGAAACTCATGTCGAATCATCCTCAGGTAGTGTAGATTCAAGTTTGTACAAATCATGATCCCTGGGGGTAGGATGGGGCCAAAATGGCTGATCAAAGTTTTACATTAGGAATCTATAGGGAAATCTTTTAAAATCTTCTTCTCAAGTACTTCAAAGCCATGATAGATGATATTTATATGGAAGCAACCTCAGGTAGTGTAGATTCTAGTTTGTTAAAAATCATGACCCCTGGGGTAGGGTAGGCCACAATGGCCGACCAAAGTTTTACATAGGATATATAGGAAAAATCTTTAAAAATCTTCTTCTCAAGAACTATTGAGACAGGAAAGATGAAACTCATGTGAAATCATCCTCAGGTAGTGTAGATTTAAGTTTGTTCAAATCATGACCCCACGGGGTAGGATGGGGCCAAAATTGCTGATCGAAGTTTTACATAGGAATATTTATCAAGTACTTCAAAGCCATGATTAGTGATATTTATATGGAATCATTCTCAGGTAGTGTAGATTCTAGTTTGTTCAAATCGTGACCCTGGGGGATAGGGTTGGGCCACAATGGGGGATCTAAGTTTTACCTTAAAATATATTTTAAAAAATGTTCTCAAGAATAGCAAACCCATGATTAGGGATACTAGTATTTATATGGAAGCATTCTCAAGTAGTGTAGAATTAATTATAAATTTGTTCAAATCATAACCCCAAGGGTAGGGTGGGGCCACAACGGTGGATCAAACTTTTACTTGGAAAAATAAAGGGAAAAATCCCAAGAACAGAAAAGCTATGTTTAGTCATACATGTATTGACCTGTAAGATTCCTCATGTATTGAAGATTTAAATTTGTTCAAATCATGGCCCTTGGGGGTAGGGAGGGAAACAATGGGGAATCAAATTCAAATTATAATAATAAGTAATGTATAGGAAGAAAGTGTTAAAAAAATCTTTTCACCAAGAACAGCAAAGTCCCCTTGCAGAAATAAATCCTGGAGGGTCAGGAGAAGTCAGGATATCCTGGGATTTTCTTGAGATATCCTGACATGTCCTGCTCTCCGAAATTTTTGCTCCTGACAATTGTCATATCCTGAGATGTCCTGATATCAGGTTCAGGATTTTATCAGGACATGTCAGGACTTTATGTTAACGCTTCACCAGAACAGGATCTTTCCAGGATTTTTCAGGACTTTTACAAGAGATCAAGTCCTGACACAAGGAAATCTCAGGGCTTTTAATATTTTCTGAACTAAAACAAACTGAATCAAATAAGTCCATCTTGAGATCAAACTGTTCATTCCAAGTCCTGGAATATCCTGAAGTCAAGACTCAATATCTCTATGTGGTCCCTTCATTACAATTGCCCATGTGTTAAGTGTTAATTCTTTCTGATGAAAGCATCACAAATGAATGGGGGCCTGGGGCAGGAGTTTCTTTAATTTATTGACCTAATCTTTATCCCATCAATTTGCAAAAGCTTTCCTTGACCTAAACAACGTACCTGCTGTGTCCCCCCACAGTTGCTTAAACTAAGACAGCATCCAATGAGGAGAGCCAGTCAGGATTTGTGCGCCTTCTCAGACCAGTTCAAAATTTCATTGCAAACCAAAATGTTTGTGAGGAACATGAAAGAATTATACAGTAAAAAGTGAAATATGCTTTGGGAAATACAATATGTCATCACCATATTGAACTAGATGTCAACATTTAAAAGTTGATTGTGTCTATGTCCATGAGATGGGGAAATATTGAAGATATGAATGACCTGGATGCAGTGAGAGGAAAATTTCAAAGATTTGCTGGTGGTACTAAAGAATGCTAAGAAAAGGGTAAGTGCATGGGCTTAAATGTGTACTTCCATCCCTCATTTTAGATTACTATGATTATATACATAGACAGTATGTTAATTATAAATTAGTACTTAATTTAATATAAATACAGTATGTTATCAGTAAATACAATACACATGATACATGTGTAAAATATATGTACATGAATTACATCATGATATCATGTAATTATTGTTTTACATGTGTATATATAGTTTTTAATATATGATCAAACATTTTCCTAAACAATTATTGCAAATTCTCTGTAGTTTCCTTTAGGAAATATGGTCAAATGTATATCATTATACCGTAAATCTCGAAATTTTTACGTCGATTTTATTTTGCGAAATCGGGTCAAATGGTGTTTATTAATTTTTACGTTTCAAAATTTTGCAGATTACCACTACTTTTCCTATTTGTAATTTATTTTTAAGAAAAATATTTTTGCAAATGCAATGAACTTGCAAATTTGCTAAAAATTTATCTACAGCAAAAATTTCCAGATTTACGTAGTACACAGCTCAGTGCAGTATTTTATATATTATCTTTTAATTATTTCTTTCAGTGTAATTTGCTAATTTAATATTGATGCATATGATTTTTTTTATTGACTGTATGGTCTTTCATGACCAACTGAACTATGAAAAATTTATCTTTTTTTATTTTGACCATCAATATAAACATTATTGTGATTAATTGTTTTAGAATAATAAAGTATCTTAATTTAATTCTTTACAGGCCTAATAACAGAAAGCATCCCTGGAGTCAGTGTTTCCACCACTCCTTGCATCATGCAAATAAGATCCATATTTAAATGCATTTTGAGAACTTAATCCGTCCTGTTTTTGAAAGAAGTGACAAAACCCTAGAGGTCATTATGACAATAAGGTGACAATAAGGGGATTGTTGATCGATCTCAGGAATATCTCAAGATATCCCAGGATTTTTACACTACAAAGTCAAATTCCTGAGGCCAGGATGATGACAGGATTGTAATCCCAGGAAATCTCAAGACATCCCAGGATATTTGTGCTACCATGAAACATGTGAAATATTCCTGAGGTCAGGATAATTGTGGTCCCAGGAATAGGATATTTTGCTTTACCAGGATTCTGTGAAATCCTGAGAAATCCTTGTTCCAATACCATCCTAGTATTATTTTTCAAGATATATCTTGAGCCATTCAGGAAATCTTGGGATCCCCTATTTTCACAAGGGTCATATGCTGTATTGATATGAAGGCATTCTCAAGTAGTATTAAAATTCAAGCCCCCCCCCCCACCTCACTAAACTTTTCAGCTCTGATCTTATTTGTGCTTTTTCCTAGCTATTGTGCTCGGGTGAGCGATGTGGCCCCTGGGCCTTTGGTTTGACATTGATCTTTCCTTTGACTTTAATTTTTATGCCCCCTTTGAAGAAGGGAGGGCATATTGCTTTGCTGCTGTCTGTCTTTCTGTCTGTCTGTCTGTAGGTGGGTCGGTCTGTTGGTCCACCATCCATTTTTGTTCATTTCCTTTGCAGAGATAAAACATACTGTAGAAGTACTTTTTTTCCGTGTGGTATTAATTTACGCTATGTATTTCCGCGGAAATTTGTCCCATCGAACTTAATGCAAATACAAGGCATATAAGGAGAATCTTAAGATATCTGCGTAATTTTCTACCAGCGGATTGAACACGAATAGAGATTCTGCTGAATTATGACCTCGTGGAAAAAAAGTACGTCACTCTACAGTATTCAAATGAAATTGGTATAGAATTTTATTAAAAGTCAAGTTCTGTTTTGGGTATGATCGAGCCATTGGGGGCATAAGTACAGGTATTCTTTTGTCTTTAAATAAGTGTTTAGCTTAGTTTTTAAGAAACCATTCAAGTAACTGTATAATCAAACTTCGAATGCTGATACATACTGATATAAGCTTTTCAACAGCTTCAGCATTTTTTACCTTTACTTTGACCTTGATCTCACTTTTCTTACATTATTGTCTACATTAGTTTTAAAGTAAACAAGATATTTTTATCAAATTTCTTATGCTGATACAAACTGCTAAAAGCTATCAATTGCAATTGAATGGTGTTGTCGTGGTTACTAAAAATAGAAATTTCTATGAAATATTTTCAAAATTGCAACTCCTCCTACAGTTTTAGTCTGATTTCAATATAACTTGGCATACAAGTACACTACACTGAGATACATAATTCTTTTTATTGGTTTTTGATTTTAACAACTGATGTTGCAGTTGTTACTAAAAATAGAAATTTCTGTGAAATACTTTTAAAATGCTACTCCAAATACAGTTTTAGTCTGATTATAATATAGTATGGCATGCAAGTAGACAACACTGAGATACATAATTGTCTTTATTGTTTTAAAATTAAAATTTTATTGAAATCTACTCCTACAGTTATAGTCTTATTGCAATCTTACCACAAAAAGAGACTAAATCAAGGATCATTCTATTTATTGCTGTTTTAAAGTTTCAAGTCCCAACTGCTACTTTTCTCTATCTTTGCTATAAGTGCAAAGCAGTAGAGCTACAGTCTCAACAGAGACTTTTGGTTACTGATTAAATGTTACATGTATTCTCTTGCTGAAGCATTATCATGACTTCCAGTCCCTATACATTCGTAAAATTTGATGTTTATCCATTTAAGCAGGTAGGTGTAAATTTTATGGGCAATTAATGGGGGGTGGGGATCTATTTTTTTATAGCTGGTGTATGTAGTACCGGTAGTTTAAATGATAGATTTTAGGATTGAATTGTTGTGTATTTCAGATTGTTTGACTGGCGACCAGAGCGACCAATTGATGCCAGACAAAAATGTGAAAAAGTTGTCATCTTGAAAAACATGTTTTCTCCAAAAGAGTTTGATGTAAGTAAGAAATTAAAAGAATCTCAACAATCACTTCTTGATGCTTATTGAGCTATGTGATCCCCTTCGTTACATCAATTATTCTGAGAGTTTAACTAAACTGAGACTTTAATCAAGGTTATTGGAAAATAAGAACATGAAAATTGAATTTTTGTGTCACAGGAGTTTTATATTTTAGAACTCTTTAATTAGAAACAATAAGGTCATCATTGTGAATTCTCCCTAGAAATGGTCTGTCTTAGGCCAGATAAAATTCATCTTTAGATTCTCATCCCCGCCCGCCCCTCTCAAAGTGTCCCGCCTCGGGGTTTTTTATTTGATTTTTGGGTGTTAATAAAAGTATTTTCATGTATTTTTACTCAGCTAGAATTTGGGTCAAAAAGTTCTTTCCCGTCTGTATTAAAAGTCGTGTGCCACTATTTATAGCAAAAGAGCCATATGAAGAATGGAGAAAAATCGGCAATAAAAGTAGTTGAAATATGAAAGGAAAAGATAATTTGTCAGTGTAGAGAAGGCAGAGAAGAAAAATTAGCATAAACACATCTAGATACCATCATTGACATGAGCAAGTTTTAGAGAGATTTTCACTACGTAAAAATAGACGAGGAAAATGACACCTGGGGCCCGTTTCATCAAAGGCAGTACGCCCGGTCGTAGCGCTACGCCGGTGTAAAGTCGGGACTAGCACGAAGATTTCCGTTTCATTAAAGAGCGTATTGTTACACCTGACTAAATTTAGGTCAAAATTTTACGTCTACTCATGGGTAGGCATAAGTTTGGGCTTAAACTTAAAATTAAGCTATTTGACTGATTTTGAAACAATTTAGCGAGTTCTCCAGAAAATATACTATTCTAAGAAGTATGTTCAATACAAACAATGCATTATTAAATTATAAATACTATGAAGAGGGGGGGCAGGGGGGCTGTTACAACCACTTGGGGACATAGTTGATTGGAGTAATAACGTACTATTTAAATTTTTTAAAAT